GGCCCTGGCGGTCACCTGGTGTAGGAGTACTTGTTGTTACTGCGGTTGTGCAGGAGCTTCACCACGGGCTGTGGGGGGAGGGGGGAGAGCACGGAGACGGGTGCGGGTCAGGCAGGGAGAGGCCCCCAGCCTCCACCCTACAGGGCTCAGGGGCCTCACCTTGGAGGTGCTGGCCAGGAGCTGCTGCTCCTCCCGGGGAGATGTCACCGTGGGGATGAGGCACAGCGGGGACAGGTTCTCCCTTTTTTGCTGGAGAAGAAGCGGAAGGTGGTTAACAGCACAAAGGTCACTCACTCCCCCACTTAAAAGCCGTCCAAACCTGCTTGTTGCCTTTGGGGGGAAAAATCCAGACTCCTTAGTGGTCCACTGAGCTCTCTGCAGGTTCCAACCTCTCTGAGCTCATCTCTACCACTCTCCCTGGCTTGCTGGGCTTCAGCCCTACCCACAGCCTGTTCCTTGTGCCCACCCAACCCTTTGCTGCTCCCCCTGCCTGGAATGGTCTTCGATGCTGTGTGCCTGGCCCCTTCATGCCATTCAGGTAACTCGAGACAGTACCCCTCAGAGGGTGCTGGTCCATCTCCTAAAGCTCCCTGACTAAAACAGCGTCCTCTACCTTCTTCTTTACACGTTAGTAGCTCATTCTTTAAAGCACTGAGGTCCTCACATTTTCTCATTTTGTTGTATGTTTGCTTACGATCTGTCTCTTCTCACCTAGGGAGTGCCTAGTATACAGTGGATGCTCAGTGTCTGTTGAAAAAATGAACCTGGTTGGGTGGGATGAGGTCTGAGGCAGAACCAGATACATGGGCTTCTTTCCTCTTTTCTGTCTTCCAGAATCTTTATGCCAAACCCCTTTCACCTCTCTCAACCAGATCTTTTTCTCAACCGTAAATTCCAGAAGTTTTTTTTTGGTTTTTTTTTTTTTGAGAAACTTGTAAGACCTTTTCTAATATTAGGGACGCCTGGGTGGCTCAGTCGGTTAAGCGTCTGCCTTCAGCTCAGGTCATGATCCCAGGGTCCTGGGATCAAGTCCTGCATCAGCTCCCTGCTCAGCAGGGAGCCTGCTTCTCCCGCCTGCCGATCCCCCTGCTTGTGTGTGCTGTCTCTGACAAATAAAATCTTAAAAAAAAGACCTTTTTCTAACATTAATATGGAAGAATAAAAGTCTATTATTACTTAGGTCCATTTTAAAAAAGAGCCAAGAGGAAGGACTGATGCTATCATATATTAAGATATCCTATAAAGCCATACTAATGAAAACAGTGTGGTTTTGGGGAACAAACACAAAACCAATGGAACACAAAAGAGAGTTTGGAAATGGGCTGATGTATATATGAGAACTGATATTTATAAAGGAGACATCACATAACAGTGGGGCAAGTATGGAGTGTGTATTGGTTATTGCTGTGTAATAAACTATCCCCAAGCTTAGCAGCTTAAAGCAACAATAAATATTTATTATCTCAGTTCCTGTGGGTTAGGAATTCAGGAGTGGCTTAGCTGGGTCGTTTTGTCATAGGGGTCTGTCTTGAGGTTGTAGCCAAGTCAGCCAGTGCTGCAGGAATCTGAAGGCATGCCTGGGTCTGGAGGATCTGTGTCTGAGAATACTTATTCACATGGCTGGCAAGTTTGTGCCGGCTCTCCGCAGGAAACATCTGATCCTTGTCATCTGGACCTCTCCATAGGGTTGCTTGAGTGTCCTCGCAACATGGCAGCTGGCTTCTCCAGAGCAAATAATCCGAGAGAGCAAGGTGTAGGCTTCAATGTCTTTTATGACCTGGTTTTGTCAGTCCTGTTCCGTGTGAAAGGGAACTACACGAAAGAATGAATACTAGGGAATAAGAATCACGGGGGACTGCCTTGGAGGCTGGCTCCACAGGCCACCTTCTGGCCCCTTTGATTCAAATCCTTCCCATTGAAAAGCACACTCACCCCCTCCCAAGATCCCCAAAGTCTCATCTCATTACAGCATCAGCCTGAAGTACAGAATCCCGTCACCTAAGTCAGTCCAGGTGGGGATGAGGCTCCTTGGGTGTAGTTCCTTAACTATAGCTCCTTAAGTACATTTCTTCTTGATCTGAAGACCTGTGAACTAAAGAGACAAATTCTCTCTCCCATATACCTAATATGCAGTGGTGGAACAGGCATTAGGATAATCAGCGGGGGACTCTTGTTCAAAAGGTTTGGGGGGAGGTAGGTGGCATACAAAAGTCAGTGCTTTGTAGAAATTCTGCAATCCAGTTGGACAAATGTTGGGAGCTCTCTGATGCCTACTCTTGCCAGAAATGATTCTTTACGGCTCTTGGCTCTGCCCTGAATCGTCCTTCCTTTTCCATGAAAGACAGTCCATGCTTGCGGCTCCGTGGTTTCCTGCTTGTAGAGCTCTGGGGGCCCAAAGGCCTCTTCTCTTGTACCGTCTTGATCACTTTTTGTCCAAGCTGGCAGTGTTTCTGCCAACGTAATTCTTTTAAAAACTTAATGGGCGGATACTCATTGAGTCTTGGGGTTCAGTTCACTGGACAGATGTCATACCCACAAATCTTTGTGAGATACGCTCTCTACTTTGGGCGTGTGCTGAGACGGCGGAGGGGCAGCACGGTTGTTTGATCAACAGGGCTCTGAGGCATCTTCTGGGATGTTTCTGAAGTCTTAACAAAGGCTTTTACAATCACATCCTCGGCTTCATCTTTAGACCATGTTTTACTGAGAATGCCCTGTATTTGATCTTTGCTAGAAAGTCATTTGTGAATTGTAACATCATGTATTATCTGGAAAGGTTGGGACTTTTCAAACCCAGTAATTCCTGCCTCCTTGTTTAATTGTGTTCCCTCTTGCTTACCCTCTCCTCTTCTATTTTACTGTTGGCAACAAGAAACCCGGTGGCCCCTTCAACATTCTTTCTGGAAACTTCTTTCCTACATCACCCAGTTTATTAGGTACATTTTCTACTTTCTACATTACTGCAGGAGACAGTGTTGCCAAAATCCTGCCTCTACATGATGAGGGTTCCCTCTGCACTGGTTTCCAGTAACATTTTCCCCATTGCAGCCTCCTCTGAGGTCATCGGGCTTCCATGAACAGACTCTTTAAAGCTCTTCAGGCTTTTATTAACATTCTCCTCAAAGTCCTGCCAACTGGTGCCCACTTCCCAGTTCTAAAGCCACTAGTACATTTGAGGCTTTTGTTACCACAGAACCCACCCAGATACCAAATCTGTTATCCACTGCTGGGTAACAAATTACTACAAATTTAGCAGCTTAAAACAATAAACATTTATTATCACACACAGTTTCCGTGAGTTGGGAACTTGAGATTGGCTAGTTGGGGGTGGTCTGGGCCAGGGTCTCTCAGGAAGTTGGCAGTCCAGATGTTGGCCTGGGCTGTAGTTATTTGAAGACTTGATTGGGCCTAGAGAATCCGCTTGTTAGAGTTCACCCATATGCCCGGCTGTGTGTGCTGGCTATTGACAGGGGGCTTCCGTTCCTCACTAGTAAACTCTCCCTTGGGCTGACTGGGTGTCTTCATGTGGCAGCTGGTTTCCCCCAGAGTGAGTGATCCAAGACAGAGGCAAAAATTGCAATGTCTTTTATGACCTAGCTTTAGAAGTCACACACTATTACTTCTGCAATATCCTATTGGCTGCATAGGTCAGCTCTGTTCAGTGTGGGAGGGGACTACACAAGAGCCTGGATAAGGAGGAAGCAAGAATTGCTGGTGGCTATCTTGGACACAGGCTACCACAGAATGTTTAGTAGATGGCACTGGAAAAACTAGCTCACTCTCTGGAGGACAAAAAATTGTTAAATCCCTTCATAATTCACATTTGTAACAGTGAATTCCATTTAGATTAACAGACCCACATATGAAAGATAAAACTATAAAGCTACCAAAAGATGTAGATAGAATGAAAAAAAAAAAACCTTCTTAAACAAGACCCTACAAGGATATACCATTAAGAAAAAAAAAAAAAAAAAGAGGAACTTGACATTAAAATCAAGATTTTCTCCAGTTGACAACAGGAACTGTGACTTTACAAATAATTCCACGTAATAACTCTGAAGGAATGACAGAATTATAATTACTCTACAACCCTAATGAAATTATTGATTCAGGTAAGGATTCTCAATTGGTTTGTGGTTGGTAAGTAATTGCCACTCACACAGTGCCTAAACAACATCACACAGATTAGTTTATGGTTGGCAACAAGGAGGTGTAACTATAATAGAGGGATCCAACCATCACCACCTGAATCTAGGTGCTAACTCTGAGTATTACTAATGATGGGTCATATTAGCAATATTATGGATCTCTCAACACAATATAAAATATAGAAAATTACCTAAAATATATTCTAATCAAAATGTTATAGTATCAAGCCTTTAAATCTACTGTTGGGGCACCTGACTGGCTCAGTTGGAAGAGCACATGACTCTTGATCTCAGGGTCGTGAGTTCGAGCCCCATGCTGGGTGCAGCGATTAGTATACTAAAAAAAATTAATTAATTAAAAAAAAAATAAATCTACTGTCTAGTTTACAGAAAACTCAGAACAGGGTATAGTACCAAACCAAATGATATCATAAGGAAACAACCAGGCAAATTTGGAAAGTGGGTCAATGTGCAGGACAACTGGTGGTCCTTTTTAACAAGTCAGCATGAGCAAAAAAGGGATGGTTTGGGGTTGAAAGAGACTTAGAGAACATAATAACCAGATGTAATGCAAGGATCTAGACTGGGTCCTGGTTTAGATGAACCAGGCATAAAAGATGTTTCTGGAACAAATGGAGAAATTTGTGTATACTCTGGATGTTAGGTAAGAAGAAATTTTATTGACACGGAAAGATAGCAATTATTAACAAACAAAGCAAATTACAAAACAGCACATATAGCATGATCATATATATTTTGGCAAATACACACACACACACACACACACACACACACACACATCCCTGGAAGGGTATCTGGAGCTTTTATTTTTTTGATCATCTGTGTTTTCTAAATTTCTACAATACATACATATACTGCTTTAAAAATAACAAATGGTTATTTATAATAAAAAAATCAAGGATTTCTATTCAACAAAAGATGCCACAGACAGGTGACATTTTAAGAGAAAATACTGGCGACAACTAAAACTGACTAGAAATTATCTGAAACAGACTTTCCCAACTAGGATTCCTCACCTGAATCTCAAAATCCAGCAAATAAATAGAGTACCTATTTTCTCAACTCTTCCAAGGATGATAGGAAAATAGTACCATTCTAGAGCCATATGAGGAAAGTAGATTTATTATGTACAATACATGTCTTCGGGCTTAACTCTCCCTAGGAACTAAACTAAAATATGCAAGGATCTTCTGCAAAGCAACAAGAAAAAGATAGGAACTCAGTAGAAAATTTGGTAAAGAATATGAATAGGCAATTCACAGACGAGGAAACCACAAAAGCAAGTAAGCATATGAAAAGATGCTCAATCTCATTAGTAATTAGAGGCATGCAAATTAAAATGAGATCACTCTATACCAATCAGATTAGCAAAATCAGAACACTGGCTGATGCCAGGTGTTGCTGAGAATATGCAGAAACGGGATCTGTTATGTACTGCTGATCAGGAGTATAAAGTGCTATAGTCATTTGGGAGAGTAATCTGATGATACTTGCTGAAATCCATTTGTATGTGTTCTATGACCCTGCAGTTCCACTTCCACCTACAAACACGAGAAACCCTGGCCCAGGATCCACAAGGGCACATATATAAGGATGCTCATGGTGGGAGGTGGCACCGTTTGCAGGGGAAGGAAGGTGGAGGCAATCTAGATCTCCAACCTCAGGGGAATATATAAATAAAATACGGTGAATACACGCCATAGATTCTTGTGCAGCAGTTAGAAGCAAAGAACTAAATGTACAAACAGCAGCATGAATAGATCTTGAAAGAAGTGTTGAATTAAGAAACAGAACACACAATCCATAGCTCAAAGCCATTTATGGAAATTTAAAACGAATACATATACAAAACGAGGCTTTTAGCTTTTCAAAGGTACAAACATAATCTAAGTATATGTATCAAAACATTAGAACTGGAGGGGTACCTACGGGTAAAAGGGAAGTGGGCAAGGGGCTGGGAATAAAGGGGAAAAATAAAAAGAGAAAAGACTTGTAGAGACCCATGATGATTAAGTACCCCACACTGAGGAGTAGGATGAACTCAATTCTCTATACCTGAATCTTAAAAACAAAAACCAAAACCTCCACACGAACAAGCAAACTCTGAGTGGGCTGAGGATGGGAACGGTGTCAGGGAAACCTGGTAAAGGAGGCAACTGGAGCAGAGGAAAAAGCACTGCACTGGGGAGTCAGATAACCTGGGGCTGAATCTGAGCTCTGTGGCTTACTGGCTGGCTCTTTGACCTTGGATGCATCCCCAACGTCCCGCCTATGTATCAAACAGGGGTACAAGATGTACACACAAGCAGATAGCAGAATCACTCCCAACACACAGTGGGTATGAGGTAACACGGGATAAATGTACAACTACAGAGCAGGAACCCATTTTCAAGATCATCTAGTTCAATGGTTTTCCAACTGCAAGTGGTGACCCATTCATGGGTCCTGAAATAAGTTTAATGAGTCCCAAAGAGCATTCAAAAGAAAGAAAACAATATAGCAGCGTGTATTTATAAAACTCTGACTGAAGTTATATATATGTAAGTATAAAATACATTTTTTTTCTATGGGATGCAGTTTGAAAAACATGCATACTGCCCAAAGGAACTCTATACTTTTGAATTTCAAGAACCAGTAAGTATTCACCAAGCCAACAGAAAGTTGTTCATAGTTGCCACTTTTTAATATATAAAGGGCATCAAAAAAGAAACTCTCATAATCTCCTATTAATATTGTATCACTAAAGAAAGGACATTTTTAACATTGTAAAAATAGAACAGAATAAAAGGCTTTATGTAAATAAAACTCATTACACTGTACCTATTTTTCTTGTTTCCCTATCTTTTGGAACGGAGGACAGAACGCCAGAGGTAGGAAATGACTCAATCAAGGTCACTCAGTCAGCTGTGGTAGAGGTGACACTTAACCCACAGGTCCTGGCTATGCTTTCTAAGCTCTTCTCCTCAGAACCCTAAGAGATCCACAGAAGAGAAGCCCAGCAGCTGGGGCTGTGGAACCCCCAACCTGTTTTATTAGGAGCAGCTCTGCTTCTAAGATTTCATTGCTAAAAAAAAGTTAAAAACAAAAAAAAACAAAACCTGGCTGGGGGTGGAATGCTGCCTCCCAGGATAGGACCAAAACACAGAGGTCATTATAATTTAAATTTAGGTATTTTTTTTCCTAGTGGCACAGGGAGTTACTTAAGATTTCTGAGCAAGGGGGAGAATAGATTGCGATTGTGTTTAAGGATCATCACTTGGGTGGCAGTGTGATTGCCAGATTAGGCAGGGAGGAACCGCAAGGAGAGAGCAATCATTTAACTACTGCAACAGTCCTGGCATGAGGTGGTAAGGGAGGTCCTTCTTGAGGCAGCAGGGATACACAGGAAAGCACCCCCAAATTTTCTGCGGTCATGGCTAGTCACAGCCAGGCCACAGGCAGCCTCTCCAGACAGTACCCCATATGCCTCCCCTCTATTTTTTAACGTCCCAGTATCTAACCGCTTGGGCAGCTCTCCAGAGACATGGGCATCGGGTGGGACCCAGGGCCCCTCACCTGCAATGCTAGCTGGCAGTCCTCAATCAGGCCCTGTACCAGGTAGTAGCGTGCTTCACCTAGGAGCTCCCCCAGTTCTCTGGTACTCTCAGGCAGTGGCACGGATCCATCCCGCAGGTAGTTGAGGATTGTACCAAAGTGGCGGCCGCTCCGGTCAATCAGCACCCAACCTGGTGGAATGGAGAGAGGCAGGAGGAAGGATGGCTTTGCAGGGGGCCCTGGAGCTACTAAATTTTTATGAAAAACAGATTCCAAAGCTACAAGTCTGAATACTGATCTGTCTCAAACCTCTGCCATATCCAAGAAAATCCCTTTGAAATATCTCCAGTGAGTTCCCCATAGACCCCTTTTTAACATTCGTAGACACAGAGAATTAATTCCCTTCCAAGTCTGTTCTACACTGAAAAAGTTCCCACCATGAGAAAATGATTACAGATTACCTTATCAACAAACTCTAACCTTTAGTGTTAATCCTGACCGTCCTATTTAATTAAAATATCCACCCCACCCTCCAGTTCACTACCATTTTAACCTTTATGTTATTCATAGAACTTACTACTATCTGCAATTACAGATGTTTTCTGTACGTGTATTTGCTTATTATTTTCCTCCTGCCCCCACAAAAAAGTCCATAAAACTAACCTTGTCTGACTCATTTTCCACTAACTGGCACTTTACAAATACTTGATTAATAAATAAATAAATTCTTCAACTTCACATATTTGAAGACTGAACTCCACCTCCCAAACTTTAATTTTCCTGCTCTTAAAATCCTTGTTGTACCCCCTCTGAATACCTTCCCCCACCTTCACAAAAACTTTATACAGTTCCACCTGGGCATGTGGGTCCCAACCCTGAAGGCAACACTCCACGAAGGTAAGGTTCACCTGCCAAAGAACTGTCCACCCTCCTCTCTGGTGTCCATGGCAAACCCCAAAACAGCCTTTTCCTACAGTCTGCATTTAGAGATGGATCCCTAGAATGTACAGGGACCTGTGTTAGAGGAACACAGAGACAGACAACTCCTCCAGGCTGGTTGTTAGCAGTGCTGAGGTAGAGAGGCAAACATGAGGCTGGGCAGTTGGAAGGAACATGTAGGTTGCCCGGAGGGTGCTGCTGATAGCAGGGCTGGTTCCCAAGTCGTCCGAGCTGAGGAATAAAGGGTGGGAGAACTGGAGGGGACTGATAATAAAAATTCTGAAGTAACATGTTGAATTACTTACCACAGCACCTGTTGGAGGGGGGCGTGTGATGTCCCATAAATGCTGGTTTTTGCTGGGAGTAAAGGACTGAGAGAGCAGGGGGATCATGAATGGGAAAGGGGCGATGAGACGGGACGTGGGGCTGGAGGGAGGTGAAATGAGTGACTGGACGGTAGAGAGACGAGAGAGAGGGTATGGGGAGACTGGGCGACGGAAGGCTGACGGGGATCTGGAGGATGCGGGACCACACAGGTAAGGGCGGCGCGGCGTACCTCCCGCGTCGGTGAGCACCTCCGCGCGGCCGCTGAACATGGCCTTGAGCATGGTGTCCTGTCCCGTGAGGGTGCGAAGCGTGGTGTAGTGCAGCGAGCCGCCCACGTTCAGCTTCACGTACTTGCTGTTCGGGGTCAGTGTCTTGAGACCGTAAGCGGCGGAGCCAGGCTCCAGACCCGAGGGCTTAGGGGCTTCTAGGGACGGGGGAGCCTCGGCCGCCCCCGGGCCCGAAGCCTCGGCCGACATGCCAGAGAGTGGCGGCGGACGGTGATCCTAGGCTCTCTCCGCGCCCTCCGGCGGCTCCCAAAAACCCCGAGACCCGAGTCCTCGAGCCGGCCCGCCCGGCCCGCACGCCCACACGCCGCCGCTACTCAGCCGCGCTGACCCTCAGCCCCATCGCGCCGACGCCGCCCGGAAGCCGGGGCCGAGCAGCTGCGCAGGCGCGCCAAGGTCCCGCCCCCGACCTCGCGCGCCGGCGGTGCGGAGCATGCGTGGTGGCCTTGGGCCAGTTGAGAGGTAGCGCGCCACCTGCGGCGGGGTGGGGGCGGGCGCGAGGTGCGCTCCGCCCGCGAGTCGTGGGCCTTGGTTGGAAGGCGCGCTCCGCCGCAGGGCTGCTGTGGAAAGCGAGGTCTCCGCTGGGTGGTTGGTCTCTGCCCTCAGAGCGCTTCGCGGGCGTGAAGGGCAAGGTTTCCCGCCTCCCATCCCCGCGCTTTTGACAGACTGAGGAGAGCTTTGAACAAAGCAGCAAGGGAGACTTGTACAAGAGGCTAAAGTGAGGTGGCCTCCTAGAGGAGGTGACAGTAGTGCTAGGGCATGCAGGGTGTGAGTAGGTAAGGTCGTCAGGGAGTCCGTGGAGGAGGTGATGCAGAGCTGAAGCTGAGAAGACCGGGCCACATGGAGGTGTGAAGGAGGAGAGCTCCGGGCAGGGGGAAGGGCACATACACAGACCCCAGGCAGGAACACGCCTGGTGGTTTTGAGGAGCAGAATGAATGTCAGGGGTGGCTGCAGCCTGCCAAGAAAAGGTCTGAGAATCCCAGCTAAGATCGTGAGACACCCAGTCCCGAAAAGAAGAAGGAATAAGATAGGGACACGTTATTGACAAGAAAGTGTGCTGAGAAGTGTTTTATCTGACTGGATCTACATTCCGTTGAGAGGCTGATACTTGAGAGATTTAACAAAGGATCTTAATGTCTAGCATGGGAGTGTGCTGGAAGGAAAATTTAAACAGAGTTGTAATTTCCACCCTGTCAACAGTTCACTGGGTGATCCTCGGCAAGTCACCTTTCTCTGGGCTTGGTTCCTATTTTGCTTAGCGAGGGGTGCAAATTTCAATGCCAGGGGACAGTTAGGAGTGTAAATGAGTGGGGTGGGGCATTATAAAGTATTGGGGAGCAATGGGGTCTGTGGTGACCCAGAGAGCTCATGTTTTACCAAAAGGGGTTGCCAATTCTGATTTTTCAAGTGTAACTGGTAAAAAAACCCAAAAAACAAAAAAAGCACCCCATGGCTGCTGGGAGCTAGTTTACACTCTCCCTCTGGAAGCCTTGGTAATGCTAGGAGGCAGCCCGGCACTATCAGCTAGGCTATGGTGTTATCCTGTTGAGCATCAACAAGTTCACAGAACACCAACATCAGACAAAGACACTCTCTGATGGATTGAGAGAAAGACCATTTCATAATCATGTCTGAACACAAAAACAAGAACATTGTCCAAACCACAAAAATGACCAAACATAACCCCTACCCCCACAGTTTGAGTGACTGCTGCTTCTTTAACAAGAACAGCTTTAATCCCTGATCCATTCCTCCTGCCTTCTAGATAAAAATTAAGATAACCAAAAAGAATTATCCCCACTTCCTGACAACATCCAACCTAGAGCAAATCTCCCTTCTCTCAAGCCCTCCTCGAAAATCATCTAATACAAGCCCAAATCCTATGATAAGTCCTTCCTAACACATTCTTGCTGAGATGTCCGTGATGCGTTCCCCATGGTGTGCCATTTCCCTTGTTCAACTACAGGTGTGCTCCTACTGGTCTTTAGCTGCAGGACATTGTCAAAAATGGAGAATCCACAGATATTCAGCTGAAGCCCTCACTACTTTGGACTGGGACCCTCAACTCTAGTAATAATGTGCACATCTGAGACCCTTTGTGTCTCTAACTGTTTGAGGTGCCATCCTGCCCATGGCTGGGAGGTAAGTTCTCACTAGATGTGAGCTCTGATGTTTTGTTAAGACCCTTCAGTGTTGGGATTATTTTGTTTTCCTTACAATAAGGTCCCCTTTGGTTTTATGGTTATCCAATTAGATTTTTATTTTTCCTTGGTAAAATTGTTTTCTGGCTTTTTATACCTTTTCCTATGATCTGTTTTCTTGTCTAGTGTTTTGAATGCCATTTGTCTATAAGAGGAAACATTTCTAGGGAAAGGACAGGTATGCAGGGCATCACAAATCTGTTATTGCTCAAACTCTAGTGATTGTCCCTCTAAGAAGCTGGAGATGTCAACCACTCAGGGGTCATATAAATAGTTAGCATGCTTGAGTGTCATTTGTTACCAGGATAAACCAGAAAAATCACTCCATCAATAAATGTCCAATAAGTCTGTACTACAACCAGCCTTAGAGGTTATGAATTCATCCTCAGACCAGTGTCTTTTGGATAAACTTTTCCTCAGATTGCCATTTTATTTATTTATTTATGAATTCATTTATTTATTTGAGAGAGAGATAGCAAGAGAGAGCACATGCAGGGTTGGGGGAGAGGGAGAAGTTAGAAGCAAGACTCCCTGCTGAGGCTTGATTCCAGGACGCTGGGATCATGACCTGAGCCAAAGGCAGATGCTTAACCAGCTGAGCCACCCAGGCGCCCCTCAGATTGCCATTTTAAATTGCTATAAGGACTCCTTCCTCAATTTTGTTTGTGTCCTGGGAACTGCTTTGTTTCATTTCTTCTGCCCAGAATCAGGACATTTTCTCTGGCCCCTGTCAATGATAATTGGCCTTTGGCCAAGTTCTGCAGATACAAGTTGCACAGCCAAATTTCTGCTTCCTTCTCACAATAACACTAACTTGTACCCTTACCTCTCTGACACAATCTCACTAGGGACAAGTTAGAATTGCAGTGGCCCCTAACAAGAACCTCGAACAAAAAAAAAAAAAAAAAAAAGGAAGGAAGAAACACTTATGAAGAGATTATTTGTCTTGTTTGTTAAAAGGCACCCCGTGTGGAGCCTACTTTAGGAAAAACAAAAGGTGGGGGGAATGCCAGGGTGGCTCAATCAGTTAAGTATCTGCCTTCAGCTCTGGTCATGATCCCAGGGTCCTGGGATCAAGTCTCACATCAGGCTCTTTGCTCATCGGGGAGCCTGTTCCTCCCTCTGCCCCTCCCCCTCTTCGTGCACTCTCTCTCTCTCTTTCTGTCTCTGACAAATAAATAAATCAAATCTTTAAAAAAAAGAAAAAGAAAGGGGGAGAGATTATTTTGTTTAACATAGGTGATTATTTCATTTCTGTACTTTGGAGATTAATAAATGCTGACTTTTTAATTGTATAGCTCTATTAAATTGCCAAGTTCCTAACTTATTTTTTAAATAGGCTGGAACATCACTCTTCTTTGTGTGTGTATGTATATATCAAATGTGTTTTTTGGGGCACCTGGGTGGCTCAGTCGGTTAAGCGTCTGACTCTAGATTTCAGCCCAGGTCATGATCTCAGTGTGGTGAGATCAAGCCCCACATCAGGTTCCACCCTGGGTGTAGAGCCTGCTTAAGATTCTCTCTCTGTTTCAGGACCCCTGGGTGGCTCAGTCAGTTAAATGTCTGCCTTTGGCTCAGGTCATGATCCCAGGGTCCTGGGATCGAGCCCAATGTTGGGATCCCTGCTCAGCAGGGAGTCTGCTTCTCTCTTTCCCTCTGCCTGCTGCTCTGCCTACTTGTGATCTCTCTCTCTCTCTGTCAGATAAATAAATAAAATCTTTAAAAAAAATAAATAAATAAAAATAAAAAAAGAGTCTCTCTCTGCCCCTCCCTCTGCCCCTCCCCTACTCATATTCTCTTCTCTCTCCCTCAAAAAAAAAAAAGCAAACACAATGTGTTTTTCTATGTTTAAACTGTTTTCCCTCTCCTTGCAGGAGAAACATGGATTAGCCTTTTATTTTTTTTTAAGATTTTATTTATTTATTTGACAGAGAGAGACACAGCGAGAGAGGGAACATAAGCAGGGGGACTAGAAGAGGGAGAAGAAAGTTTCCTGCAGAGCAGGGAGCCCGATGAGGGGCTCTATCCCAGGACCCTGGGATCATGACCTGGGCAGACGCTTAACAACTGAGCCACCCAGGCGCCCTTGGATTAGCCTTTTAGAGTGATAATTTTACAATTATCTGAAGTAGCTCCCTCTCACTTTTTGCTGTTCATTTTCTTCTCTTGGAAGACTTGAAAGATTAACTAATCAAAAATTATTCTTTTGAATGTGTGCACTCTAGGAACATCTAGTATAGTTAAACAGTCAAACATGTCTAAATGAATTGTTAAACTATGTATTTTTCCTTTGTGGGCACTGGAAAGTATATTTGTGTAATGGGCTTTGTTATTATAGTACAAGATAAGAAAAGGCCTTAGTTCTAAGATAAACGAAGAGTTTTTGGCATAATCCAATGTCTTTAAATTTTAATTTGCCATGTAAAAATAATACCAACACAATATTTTGGTTGGTATTAGATCAGCATTAGTTTTCTCATGATTTAAGCCTTCTTATTTTTTATGTTGATTTTTTTTTTTTTAAGTAGGCTCCATACTCAGCGTGGAGCCCAAGGCAGGACTTGAACTCATGACCCTGAGATCAAGTCCTGAGCTGAGATCAAGAGTCAGACACTTAGGGGTACCTGGGTGGTACAGTCGGTTGGGCTTTCTTGGTTTCAGCTGGGTTGTGATCTGAGGGCTGTGGGATTGAGCCCCAGGTGGGACTCTGCTCTTTGCTTGGGATTTTCTCTCCCTCTCCCTCTTCCCTTCCTGCTTATGCTCCCTCTCTCTGTCAAGAATAAATAAATCTTAAAAAAAATAAAAAGAGTTGGAGCTTAACGTGCCACCCAGGTGCCCGTTTTGTATTGACTTTAAAAGTTAAGTAGATTATCTGGGGCGCCTGGGTGGCTTAGTTGGTTGGGCGACTGCCTTCGGCTCAGGTCATGATCCTGGAGTCCCGGGATCGAGTCCCGCATCGGGCTTCCTGCTCGGCAGGGAGTCTGCTTCTCCCTCTGACCCTCCCCCC